GTTAAACTTGAGGATAGTGCAGTGAATGCCTCTTCATTGGTCTTTCACAATACAGTAAAATCTAGAGGGAATACTCATCTGAAGGGCAAGATGCCAGAAAGAACAGGTTTGACTTGTCTGCAAGGATTTACACCACAGTAGAATGTACAACTGTTTTCTCAGAGGTTGTTGTGAAGGTCAAGGAGCTAGTTTGCATTACGAAATGAGAACAGCTTTATGGTGATGGGGAGGGAGAGTACTTGAAATCTCACTTGAAATGGGTGAAATGTAATTCATTCTTTCTTAAGCAAATCACCCCTAGAAATCTGAAACCTTCTTTTACTTAATTTCTTCAGCCAGAGTATTATTGCTAACTAAAACGATCCAAGTCCTGAGCACTTTCATGAGGAAAGACGAAAGTTGATGAAAACTTCCCTAAGTTCTTATCACTGAAACATGCCTCTAAACATTTTGCTTGTAATGGAGCCGATCTCCTGTGAGGGTCTTAGCACTGAGTAGCATATTCTTGGCAAATAATCCCTACATTGAGTGTGAGCTGGCCAGCAATATCTGATAGGTGACATCCCCCCGCCCCCGCTCCCATATCCCAAGAGAGAAAGTGGCAGAATGGAGGCAAAGTCAAAAAAGTCAGTCATGCAACAGCTAACCTACTTTGTTAATGTGTAAATCTGACTTGCTGGAGATTTAAATATTATTTTTTAAAAAAATGGTGCAGCAAATACATAATTCTTAGGACATTGGCTAACGTATTACTTTCTAAAGCATGGGGGGTGGTTAGTTTAGTAATGTGATGATTTTAATGAACAGCATGATAAGAGGCTTATAAAATTATCAATACTATAAAAGTCATGAGATTTATGCAGAATTCATGGAAACAGATTCATATATAAAATAAAAATGTACTCCATATCTTGGCTTCTCAATTTTAAGGTGGCTTACAATGAATATCAACATTTTATAGGCACTGATTTATTTTAAGAAAAAGACAAGGAAAATTCAGTTGAAACTGTTACCCTCCTTTATCCCTTTAAATGAAAAAGGGGCACACATTGCAAATGGCAGATAGCCATTGGGGAAGAGCAATGGAGAGATTAATTAGTAAACACAGGAATGTGCGCTAGCAAATGTGCCTGAGTGGCATGAACATATGTGGCAGCAACAGGTGGAAAGTGAGTGCTTCTGTTTGGGGAGCTATTTCCAAAAAGGCTTCAGAGAGATGTTAGTCTTTAAACAGATTTCTCTGCTAATTGCTTCAAATTATTGTGCTTATTTTTAAAGTTTACTAACATGCTCTGTGTCATATGTAGATTAAATGTAATCTCCAAATTTTATAGTGAAGAATACAGTACAAGCACATATTGAAATAAAAAAACACACTATTTGTTCTAACATAGCACAAAGGAGACCTGAATGTATAGTTCATACAGCATAAAATATGTGTTTGGAATAAAATCTTAATCCTATTGAACTTAATAAATGTTTGTTTTATGAATAGTTTCATTTGGAGTTTCCAACTACATTATGTACACCTAAAATTGGCTTAGACATAAAATAAAAATGTCTGCATATAGTTTGACTTCCCAGGGTTCTAGCCAAGAATTTTCCTACCGGCAGCATCCTGATCTCCCCTCTTGCTTTTCTCCCTAATTCTGGAGATACAAAAGAATGAAATAATGTGGGGAAAGGCTGTGGTCTCCTACTAAGTTAAGGTCCCACCACAATTAATATTTCATGTACATACAGGCACACTGAATTGTAGAATTTGATTGGGGTCATGTTATGAGTTCAGACAGATGCGGAGAGCAATATTAATATTTTCCAAAATGTAATTAAGGAGATCACATGTAATATAATATGGAGGGGGAGAGGTACAGCAGGACAAAAACACTAGAATAATTTATAGGGGCTTTTTACGCGATCAGGAATTTCCTTTCAATTTCACAAGAAATTTTTAGCTCCAAGCTATTATGAGAAAAATAATGGACACATATTGGTGTGGATAAATAGGTTTTTGTTCTTTTTACATTTATATAAAAGTAATTCATCATTTTTATCATTGTGTTCCAAAAATGTAATTAATTGCTGGTGTCTAGCTTTGTTTTCAGCATATATATTCCATAAGTAATAGAATTGGATATTCCATTATTTTACTCCTTAGATGTGATTTTTTAATCTCAACGCTTATCTTAATGTTTTAATTCAACATTCAACAAGATAGAGGAAAGTTATTCCTTGATAACATTTGACCCTACACAACTGAACATTCTCGAAAAAGAGACCAGATATCTAAAATCTGACTTCAGCAGATTTATTTAATTAGTCATTCATTCATTCATTCATTCATTCATTCATTCATTCATTTATTTAGTGTTTATCAATCTGAAAGAGATTTAATTTTGATTTAAAAGGCAGTCAGCAACTTGATTTTTGTGATCAATTACAGAAAAGTATCATTTGGTTGCAATGATTATCACGGCATTAGTGTGCTAGTAATTTTTTTTTAACAATACCCCCAAGGCAAAAAATTGCTGAAAACCCAGCTCTGGAAAGATATGACATCACAAATGAATGTCTAAAAAAATAAATAAAATCATATGGCATCCTTATGAGTTTCCTAAGGCAGCCTGAGGTACTGCAAAGCACTTTTTAAAGTTTAATTGGTCATATTCTGCTGTTGTGTAGTCCTGCCAGGGGACATTCTCTTTTAGTAAGATTGCCCAATCCAGTTTAAGGAGGAAGAAGCATAAGCAAGAGCTTATCTGTTATTGGTACTTGGATAATGATTGAGCAAGCACACATGTGATCAACTGGTCTATCATTTCTACTAAGGTGAGATGTATTTTATTTGCTTGCTACTTCAGATTTAGTGTGATTTTCCACCAGCATCTGTATTATCACTTTTCTTTTATGGTCCTCAAATGCCAGTGTGTACTATTTGTTGAACTAATTAGCAGGATATGAAGATGTTTTAGACTGGACACTGATGAATCCAATATTTGTGCTCAACTGATTTTCCAGGTTTTCAGGCAGAGGTCTCTTCCAGTTCTACTTGAACCCCTTAAATAGAAATGTCAAACCATGGGCTGGAACTTAGTAGATTGAAGCCATCCTATACCATTGAACTTGAGCTTTCTCAAAATCTCCAGGAAAGAATTCTGTTTACCTAAATAGCTTGTTATTTTCAGGATTAAAATAAAGACCACCATAATACGTTATATATTTTCTTTAGTTATTATTAAATTCTGCATGTTTATATCAGGGTGTTAAAGTGTGAATGGAATACAAATGAGAGTTTGACAACTGTTTCTGGAAAACATAATAATAATAAGTGTCTTCTTTCAAGAAGCATCCACTAACTCTTCTGTCCCATCCTAATCAACACCTGCTGCTATAAATATAGCAGCAATCCAGAATGTTTTGATGTATTGATGGAATAGGTGGAAAAAACTTAATAGCTTCATGTGAGATAATCCTTAAACATGCTCCACAGGCAGGTAGACTGGTACTTCTATATTATATTTATCTGGAAATTGCGGAGAAATTGTAGTAAATTCGTCTATCTTCTGATGGATTACATTTTTGATTGTCTTCAATCACACTCACTCTGCCCGATTTCATCAGAGTGATAGGAACTGAGAGATTAAAATTAAGCAATGCAAAAATGGGATTACAACCTAGAGTTAATGTTACCTTGATGGGCAATCCAATCTTTGAAAGAATATATCTTCAGAACAAAATTTTGAAGCTGACTTATTTCAACTAATCAAACAATTAATTACAATATAGCATCTGAATACTGTGCTAAGTTGCAATCAATGCAAACTGGAAGGGATCTTCTAATTCTTCAAGGAGTGTGTCAATTGTTGCACCTATTTTTCCGGGGGCTGGATTAGGGTGAAATGACACTTTGTGGATGGTTTTGTTGGAGGCATACAAGGAGGAGGGCTGAGTTGCTAGATTTTTGTTTTATGGTTTTGTTTATTTTATTGGTTTTATTCTTGCAAGCTGTCCAGAGTTGTGTTCTAAGGTGGGCAGCTGTACAAATCTTAAACACCACCCTCTCTGCCACATTGAGGCACCGCAGCAGGAGTCTGTTTTTTTGGGGGGAGCGATATGTCTGTATATATGTGTAATTATTCCCAACTCTGATAAGCATAAACTTGGATTTTTATACAGTTATATTGAAGCTTCCATTTGTGTTAATATCGTGGCTGAACAGCAATGGAAAAATGTATAGCCTGTAACAAATGCAAATTTTATTTATTTCTTTAAATTCATTATAGCTGCTCAACTCAGTGGACTCTGAACTCTCTCAAATTTAGGTCCTGTTGTGGTACCTTGCTTTAATGGCAGACCCTGAAGAATTTTAAAGACACTCTTTTGTCTGAAGGCTAATTTGAGAAATGCAAATTATTTTTTTAAAGTTCTGTAGAAATTTGTTGAATTAATTTTAACGTTACAGCAAACATCAATTCTTACAGCCATCACTTGTGGTAGTTTAGAGATTAGATAGATAGATAGATAGATAGATAGATAGATAGATAGATAGATAGATAGATAGATAATGCAAAAGTAGCTTCCACTTCTCATTTAGAGCTTGGTCTTGCTTTACTCTGTTTACTTATTGATTTATGTATTTATTAAATGTATTCACTACTCATCTCACTATTACTTGGTATTGCTTATGAGAAATGTAACTTTATCTATTAAATTCATCTGCCACAGAGGAGATAGCTGCACTTAGTGTAAATCTGGTGTAAACTAATTTTATTTTCCACACCTTCATCTTTAAGAATTATAGCTAAGAAACCATTATTTTTCTAACATTAAGATGTTTGGAAAGAATTTCATGTTAGAAGCAGAAAATAGATTGTATAATAGCTACTCCTGAATGTTCAATTTTTAGGTTTTAATTCAGCTTTTGTAAGAATAACAGCTTCTTATTATGAATCATCTAAACTAAGCCACAACTTAGATATCTCCCTATATATTTTCAACAGGGTCAGCATATTTCCTTAGTGCCTGTTCAAAAGATTGAAGAAGTACTCTATGACTATAATCCACTGCATGTAGAAACATATGGACCATTGGTTCCAGAGGTGGAATTGCTGGGAAAATTAGGGTAAGTTTGTTTGTTTAAATTGACTTAAGATTGCACCCTACTGGGAACCTTACCACCTTATTTGTTTTTCAAAGCAGAGTGTTTTTTTTAAAGCAAAATAGACAACATCCTGTCCAAACCAATGTTTTGTTTGGGCAGCCACATGTGATTTTTGTTTGTTCCACGCTTTTCTTTGGTTTTCTAGTATTTTATATATCAGTTGAGAATTCTGCCAAGTTGCATTAATGTTTTTAAGATTGCTATAGGCAGTTGAGGAGAAATAGCTGTTCATTTTCAATTTATGTAGTTTTAAAAAATATACATATAAAGCTTTGGATCTTGATTTGTCTAAGAACGGTGGGCCAATAAAAATATTAGGGCTGGCTTTTCATTGTGAGAGAAGTTAAATTTTACTTTCAGTGCTGGATTCTTTCTGTCGGGGCAAATCTTTTGCCTGAGTATCTTTTAAGTATAAATGTAAGATCTAGCTTATATAACTGGCAGTTCTCATACAACTTTTTTCTAGGTACTGTGGGCATGTATTCTATGCAAACTTCACAAAAATTTTGTGAGGAAAACCTTCAGCTTGAAATACAATGCATTCTCCTATAAATGTCAAGAGATTATATTGAACATTAAAAAATACAGTACATAGTTGAAAGAGTATTTTAATCTAAGTAAGGAGTACAGTGCTGATCCTGAAGCAGAAATGTTATAGGTAATCATAGAGATTAAACAGAAATGTAGAATACTTTTTGTGTAAATAAATAAAATTCAACTAGTCAGCTTTCCTTACCTTGCTATTTAGAATGTTGGTGTTAACAGCAGTATAACACCAGCTGTAATATAAATAAGATAACCAAGTTGGTTAAAGAATTAACTATATTATCAGTATGTGGTTTTGATGTCAGATTAAAATGTGTGGCAAGAACTAAACACCTCATGTCCTATTGGGTTCTTGTCATTTCAAGTTTTTTTGCTGGAGTTTCAAGTTTATTTTCAGCAAGTTCTATGAAATAAATTCTAAAATACAGAAGTTGGCAGCAAAACACTGAAATTAATCAACTGCTTTTAAACTACTTGCTCTTATTAATAAAAAAAGTATTTAACAAAAATAAAATAGTAACACATTAATTTATTCTACTACATCTGTAATTATTATTGAGACCTGTGATGTTGAATGGATGAATTAATAATCTAAAACATAATTACATAGCAGTGTTGAAAAAATAGGAATAACACTAGCAATAGCACTTAGACTTATATACCACTTCACAGTGTTTTTACAACCCTCTGTAAGTGGCTTACTGAGTCAGTATATTGGCCCCAGCAATCTGGGTCCTCCTTTTACTGATCTTGGAAGGATAGAAGGCTGAGTCAAACTTAAGCCGTGAGAATAATGAAAGGTAGTTCATTATCTAATGTATTTAAAACTTAAATAAGAACAAAAAAAGAGACACACAAAACTAGACTATGTTACTGTGTTTCCCTGAAAATAAGACTGGGTCTTATATATTTTTTTTGTCCAAAAGTCCCATTAGATCTTATTTTGGGGGGATGTCTTACATTACAGGAGGTGGCAAGCACGTGGGGGCAGGGCATGGCCTGTGCATGTGGCGGCAGCCCAAGGCCAAAGTGCTAGCAGAGCATTGGAGGGTTGGGGAGGGTGCTGAAGCAAGCCAAGTCCTGTCTGCAGCACCCATGCCGGTTGCCCCTTCCCTGCCAGAGCTGGAATGCCGCCATGTTTACCATTAGTGCTGGTACTGGTAGATGCTAGCCTTTCCTCTGGCGGGCCTGGGCAGCTGCTAGAGACCCATTTCAGGCTTGGTGCCCTTGGGTTTGCCTTTTCACTTCCCTTCCAAGTCAGACTACTTGCGCTTTCAGCCACCTGGCCCCCTCTTTGCAGCTCTGCCCACACAGCCACTGAAGTGCCAGGTGGAGTGCCGGAGCCGGAAAGCATCACATTTCTCTGCTGCTGTGGAGCTGGAGAACTTGCCTTACCCACCACTGCCAAGATCCCCTCCTTTCCCAAAGCATTTCTTTGCTAACCTTTCCAGCTCTGACGCACTCTTCCGCCACTGTGGGCAGTCCAACAAGCAAAAGAAGATTGTGGGACTAAAAAAAAAATTCCAATCAATCAATTCCAACTTTGCGAGATTTTTTTTTTTTGCGAGAAGTTGGAATTGATTGATTCAACTTTTTTTTGTCCCACAAACTTATTTTGTTTGTGGGACTGCCCATGGCGGCAGAGGAGAGTGTCCCACTCACCACGCCCAAATGCCTTCCCTTCCCAAAGCATTTCTATGCTAACCTTGACCCACAAACAAAAGAAGTTTGCCAAAGTGGATCCCAGGCTGCAATGTGAGGAAAAGTGGCCGAGTGAGAAGTGGGGCCGTCCTGGCCAGTCAGGCACTGAACAACCGCTGAAAACAGCGGAGTCTGTGTGTGTGTCTGCTACACGCTCATCCCGCATCAGCCGTGCTCTCCATGCCTTGAATCAGCTGCAGCTCACTGTGAAGAGCATGGCTAATGCAGGGTGAGCATGTGGCAGGCAGGCACACGGACTCCACTATTTTTGGTGGTACTTTTCACTTGGCCGCTTTTCCTTTTTCTTCTCCCCGTTCCTCCTTTCCTTGCACCGGCTGCTCGACTTCCCGTCTGTCCATTGCAGCATACATTGCAGCCTGGAATCCACTTTGGCAGTGACAGGGTTTGGGGGATGGTGAATCCCCATTCGTGGCGTGTCTGCCGACCAATCGCCATACCGCCTCTCGGGAGGGCACTGAAAAAAGCGGAGTCTGTGTGCGCACCTGCCTCGTGCTCATCCTGCGTTCGCCATGCTCTCCACGGTGCACTGCAGCTGACCCGAGGCAGCTGGCCAGACACAGAAGCGCCGCTGAAAACAGCAAAATCTGTGTGCGCACCTGCTGCTCACTCACCCATCAGTTGTGCTCTCCACACCTCAGATCAGCTGCAGAGTGCTGTGGAAAGCATGGCTGATGTGGGCGAGGCAGGTGCGCACACAGACTCTGCTGTTCCCGTCGGTGCTTTGGTGCCTGGCTGGCCACCTCAGGTCAGGCTTGTTTTCCTGTGTTTAGGCTGTATTTTATATTTGAGAGCCAGCGTGAATTAATTACCGGACTATTGGACTGAGATCAGGGAAATTGGGTTCAGATTTCTACTCAGCCACAAACCACAAAGCTGACTGGGCAATCTTAGGCTGGTTACCAGCTTATAGTTGAACTTAACTCACAAATGTATTGTGTAAATAAAAGGGTGGGGTGGGGATAGCTTGTTTGTTTCCATTTGAAATGGAAGGGTGGGAGAAAAATATAATGAACAAAATTCATAGGACTTGCCTGCCTGCCTGCCTGCCTGCCTGCCTGCCTGATTTATTTATTTATTTATTTATTTATTTGTTTGTTTGTTTGTTTATTTATTTATTTCATTTGATTTATATGGCAGCCTATCTTGGAGTAAATTGTGGGTGACTCACAATCACAATAAAACTACAAAAACCATAAAACCCATAAAATACACTATCACTTATTAGAATGCAGAAAGCATTTATATGCCACAGGTCACTTTTTTTGAAAAAATAAATGTGAAAGTGATGGGTTTTTGTACTAATGAGGAAATCAAAAGGTTTTCAGACTGGAAGGGTCCCTGGGTGAAAGTCTCTTTTTATCTTTCTGATTGCTTGTCCCCTTGCTGCTCCACGATTCAAGTTCACGAGATGGAAAGGTAGTATAAGATTCTTAGAGTTTTCTTAATTGTTTTAGGGAAGGTCAAACAATTGAAATGATGATGAATGCCTTTTGCCTTGAATTGACACAGTGGTCATGCACTATGGGTCCCTGCCATTGTTGTCTATCTTGTGGGAGGCAAAAACTTTGGCAGAAACTGTGCCCTGTGGTTGAGGTGCATCATTGGGAGGAAATAATAAAAAATCATACACTTGATGATTATGTGTCAACATTGTGATATGGCTGCAAAAATATAAAAGCAGTTTTAGATGGCACAAACTGCCCTTTAAGAAGAGTTCAGAGAAACTGGAGTAAATTCAGAGAAGAATAACAAAATTTATCAGAAAGCTATAAAGAGATTGAAGAATTTAAGAACGTTCAGCCCCAGGAAGAAAAGGAGTGCTGTTATCTTTATACATTGCAAAATATGTCATACAAAAGAAGGTCAACACTTGTTCTTTATTATCCTAGAGTTCAGGACATGTTAAAATGGATTTAAGCAAAAACAAGTCAGTTTGTAATTGACTGTTGGTAAAAATTCTAAAATTAAGAATAATTTGAAAGTTGAATCAATTATCCATAGAAGTGCCAAACTACCTGTAATAGATGTGTTCAGGCAGAAGCTGGTCAGCCTTCTGAAATGGATGGTTTAATTTGGAGTTTTATGTCAATCTGAGCTTTGGTTTTGTGACCTAAATGCCCTCTTCTAGCTCTGTGATTCTATGAATTATTTAATTATCTGGAGAATGATCGTTTGAAAAGAATATTTTCCTAAAAATGTTTTATTAGTTTCTGGAACTTCAAGAGCACTTTCTGTTACGGTATATTTTTATAGGCCCATTTTTCTCATAAGGTTACAGAAATGAACATAGGTACATGATAGCATTCTAGCTTTTTCTCAGTGCAGTAGGTGTTCAAACCCTTCAATCATTTTGGTTGCCTCTTTTGTGCCTTTTTCCAGCTGTATCATATATCCTCCATTAAATCTGGCAACTAGAATGGAATATAATATTCCAGATGTGGACATAGTATAGATTTGTTTAAGGACACTATAATAACTGACAGGTTTATTTTCAGTCCCTTCCTAAAGATATATACCGTGGAATTTGACTTTTTTCCTAGCAGCTGCACACCGGGTTGACATCTTCAGTAACTTGAAGATAGCTTTATATATTTCAGATCTCATTAGTAAAGCTGAGTATCTCTTATTGTAGTGCATGGTTGCTAAGTAAAAATTAATTTGCTTCACTTTTTCCTCCACTGTTTGCATCTACTTTGCATCTGGTTTTGATTATTAGAAATCTTGGATTTTGTTTTGTTTTGTTTTCCAAGTAAATACTGCAATTTTGAAAGGTGCTCATACCAGATTAGAAGTTTCCATTAGGGCCCCTCAGTAGCAGTCCATTAGTTCTTCAGCATTAGTGATCTGTTCTGGCCATTAGAAACAGGACAGCTAAGGAAAAACACTGCTTGTTTTAGAATTGTTCTAAGTTTAATTTTTCTTATGGAAAGTGTTTGTGGTTTACCTCTATTCAGAAACCTGACTGATGACTGGATTTTTTGAGGGGGTAGGATTTGCTGTTGGCCTGCAACATATACCAGCTTCAGTCTGCAGCCCAGAAAATTTTTGAGGTTAATGGTTAAGATAGTTTAAAAGAGTTCCAGTTCTGCTGACCTGAAAGCTGCAAAAGACACTCTTTTGGAATACATACACAGCTCAGCCAGCCAGCCAGCCGCTTAATATGTTCGCCTCTTATAAGAATCCAGTATGGTACACTACAGTAACTCTTTATAGTAATTGAAATAGACTGAGAAGCTTGACTATGAACACTGTCCCAGATGGGCAGTTTAAGGAAGGCGTAAGCCCCTCCTTAACTCCTCCTTTAAAGCCCAGAGTCTGTTTTGAGGAGGGGACGGATTGTTATGTTTTCTTGAAGCATGTACTGTAGTTTGGTTTGCTTCCTTGTAGAAAATGGTGCTCACTGGAAAAGGGCCTAATGCTGGGAAAGATTGAGGGCAATAGAAGAAGGGGACGACAGAGAATGAGATGGCTGGATGGAGTCACTAAAGCAGTAGGTGAGAACTTAAATGGACTCCAGAAGATGGTAGAGGACAGGAAGACCTGGAGGAACGTTGTCCATGGGGTCGCGATGGGTCGGACACGACTTCGCAATTAACAAGAAAATGGTGCTACTTGATCTGCAATATTTTTGTTCTCAGTATCTTCCAGTATTTTTGTTCTCAGTGAGAATATTGAAACTTGAATGCTACAGAGCTCCCTAAGGTCAGTCAGCAGAGAAATGCTTAATTTTAAACTGACACACTGAACGATAAGGGAATTTAGTTATATTTTCTGCTCCTCATATAATGTAGAAAGTTCAAAAGATGCCTCTTCTGAACCACCTAGATTAGTGCACCACTATCCAAGGACCCTCATGTTTAAAGCCTAGTTACACATGTTTATTGTATTTTTTAAAAAAGAATGAAGGAAGCAGATAGATTTCTTCAGCTGAATTTAAAATCAAGGACAAGAACTTGGCCTCCTGCAGAAAGCCTGAAACCTCACTGTTTTAAAAAGTTGGATGTTTTGACAAAATATCTTCTGAGATTTTTCAAATGACACCATATAGTATATGGAATTTTTGCAGTGAAGAACACTTCTGCCAAAATCATTAGCAGAATATGTTAAGATTGGATTGCTTTGGAAATAGACTTTCTTATTTCCTGTCCACCCACCTGTGGGTCTAGTGTGGGCTCTGTAGCTGTTGACAGTCTCAGGAGAATTATGAAGACAAAAAAAAAAATATGGGAAATGTATAAAGAAAAAAAGAGAAAGTTTCTGCTTGGCTGCACAATTACGTATATTCCAAGTTGCCTATAATTGTGCAAGTACCTGCTAGATTAACTTCAGAAACCTGGACCTCACACCAAAATGTCTATAATAATGGCTTTTCTTGGCATTTGGATTCAGAATTAATTCAGTGACTGAACATAAGATATTGTGCTCTGAATACTTCACCTATAATTTATGTGATATTCTCTAACTTCTTTTTAATGTAATCATGGGCCAAAAAAAAAAAAAAAATCTGCCCCAAGCAGTTGTCAAACAAGCTTCTTTCATTGACAGTCAGACACAGGGCAGCTGAATAGAGTTGTTTAGTCTAAAGTAAATACTCCAGAGATTACAAGGTCGCTGAAGGAAATGTAATTATACTATTTTATTATAGAATAGCTTTTTTTGTGGTGTGAGAATTGTAGAGCTTACACAATGCTGGAGTGCAATGTTTGTTAAAGATATATTTTCTCAATATAGTTATATTTTCTCACTACTCAGAAATATGTTCAGGACCAGAATGTAAAGAAGTATGTTGAATAAAATGAAGTGGAGGGAATGCCTTTCAAAATCATCTCTTGAAGATCTGATGTTCTTGGAAAACTTTTTAGGGCTTTTGATATGAGAAATGTCTAATTTCCCAGAAAGACAGGACAATTGTAGTGGCATGTTGAAGATTTGCTTTTGAGAAATAGAGAGGAACTAATGATGGTAACTCATGCCCTTATTAGCACCCAGATAGAGTTATTTCATGAGGCTGCTTTTGAAGACAACTTGGAAGTTGCAGTTACTACCGGTAGACAATGCATGCTGACATACACAGCAGAAACAGTTTCAAATATATAATATCGCTATTGTAGGCACTGTTGGTTTAAAATAAATTTATAGATACAATGCAGAGAGTTAATTTTAAAATCCAAATTGGATTGGATCCTAGCTACCTTCTGGACTGTTTTCTTGGATTCCATGGGGTTTGGAATCCAATCTAGGAAAGGTGAGATCTCTGATCTCACCTTTTTATGTGATAACCTCTTTTTATGTGGTAAACCTCCTCACCAGAGGTGAGTCTGAGGCCAACTCTGGTAGCTTTTTAAAAAGCTGCCAAGATGGAGTTGTTCTGCAGAGTATTTGAGAGTTAATGTTGTCCAATGAGTATTATGTTGTGTTATGTTATGTTCTTATTGTAGCACACTAGGAGTTACATTGAACTTCATCATAATTCAAATGATTTGGGTGTTCACTTTCCATCATTTCCCATAATTCCCTACATAATTCAGTGTTCCCCTAAAGAAAACTCGCTGAAGGAAGCAAATACATTTAAGGGTTTTCATCTGATATATGGAAACTATTTTTTAAATTAATAGAATTAGTGAGGATAAAACTGATAAACTATCAGTTATATCATTCCAGGACCAAATGCCTACAGGCTTTCAAATCTAAATGATATGACATAAACGGGAAAAAGTATTTGGAGATGGAGCAATCAGCCACCAGTTTTTAATGATAAACTGCAATTCCAAAAAGAGACGACTAAAATGGAAACACTTCAGAAAGAAGAGCACTTCAGTCTTTCAGCAGAATTGATGACATGTATCTGTTGCTTATCTCCCTTTCTGCAGTCTCACAGATGGGTATTTTGGTGATTTGTTTCTCTGTTCTTGAGGCCAAGGCACAACTGGGAGAATACAGTGTAGTTATTTTATTTATTTTAACTACTTTATGGAAAGTTCAGAAAGAAAGACAAAGAGGAAAAATAAATACATGCATTTCTTTTATATAATTAAGAGGAAAGCTTTGCTGATTTTGTTGACTTTGTTGAGAGTGAGTGAAAGAGATTCTTAAAAATGTTTTGCCTTCTGCTTTACTTTTCTTCATTTTTTCCTCCCCCCACCTTTAACTTTTTTTTTTTGTTATTATTAGGTTCAAAAGACAACTGATGAACTTCTCATTCTTTCTCATTTATCTGCTTTGCAGTGGTTAACATTTTTCAGTTAACCAGTTTTGTCCTGTACTAGTGGTAGGTTGCTACATATGGGAGAATGAGACAATTTTATTCCATTTTTGTCCTTTTGTTTATTAGCATCAAGTGGAACTGGTACTATAGTTAAATACGTTTTTTTCTGGAGTCTCAGGAACTCAGGAAAAGATGCAATTGCCTTATGTTGTTCTTACCCTGTCCAGCATGCAGGCTCCTATCCTTTGTGAAATATTTTTAAAAAACGTCTTTACTTTTTTTTTCGTATTTATTTGAAATGGGTTTTTATTGGAGGAAAACAACTGCTTCAGGTTGAGACTCAGGTTTTCGAGTTTTGCTCTACCCTCATTGTAGTAGTTAAGGAAGTTGTGGAATATAATATGAATAAATGGTTGCAAGATCTGCCATTTCCATTGCAATTGTGAAATTTAGGCAACCTGTGATCTTCTTTCTGTATTTAAGAAGGCCTGTATTACAACCATTTTACAATAAATTATATATTTCGCATTACTCTATAGTATGTTTTGAGTAATCTTTATGCATACATACCCACAAAAGTCTTTTTCATAATGATGTCTAATAACTTATTCTCCACCATCCTGAAAAGAAAATCGCTAACATGCAGTATTTATATCCTGGGTTTCAGTATCAACTGACTTTTAATTTAAAGGGAACAAAAACATTATAAATCCAAAGCAAACTACTGCATTCAAATAAATGGAACATAATCTTACCAAACTAAAACAGTTTGGAAAAGGGACTCATATGTTTTTGTGCATGATTGAATGTGTTTGTGTGTGTGTATTTATATAGCAACTTATGTAATTATATATTAAAAATGTGGCATCATTTGTGTATATGTATGCATCTGTATCAAGAGAGATAGGACTAATGCTTGCGGATAATAACAAGAAATAGGAAAAGCTGGTTATGAAATAAAATTAACCATTGTCAAGTCTAGATGGGGCATAGCCATATTATGTCTTTACAGAACAGCCTCTAACTGCAAAACCTTACCTACCTCATCACTGGATGAGTGGTGTGTGGGTTTATTCACTATAATTTTTTGCAAGATACTGGTCCAAACAAGGCTCACTCTCACAAGACAATGTCATTTTACAGATTTAAAAGTTGTTAAATAGTCTTGGATAAATTACACAATCTTTTGTAGTGAAGTCCAGAATAATATTCTGAAGTATTTTGCAGGCACACAAGTTGAATCAACTCTGTTGCGATCATCACTTCTCAATAGTTTTACTGGTTTGCCACTGCAGAATCAATTCTGTAAGTTTACAAAAGAAAAAAAGTGGATTGCATATGACTGATCTGCAGAAACACTATACTTCTGTAACTTGTCAAAATCAGATTTTAGTTAATGCATGTTTTCAGTGATGTAATGGGAATTATTTGGCAGACAGAATGTAATGAATCATGATTAATGTTTTAATAAGCAGTTTTGCTCTTATGATGCAGAGCTAAAATGTTCTTTCTGTTCAGACTGATAGTCCTGAAGCATGTGCATGCATATGATCTTTAAAAAATACTGAATTCTTTACTTTTTTGAAGTATTTTTTTATTCCCAGCAATATCAAAAACTCTGAAAGTATGCCATCAAGAGAGTTATTGATTCCACTCCCTAAAGTGATTGCATTAAAATACACAGAGAACAACAAATATATACGGTATTTAAAATTACCTCAAAGAATATGAATGCTTCATTTAAAATAGTAGAGTTAGAGTTATTTTTGTATTCTGGTACATGTATTTTTCTCATATGCATTGACTTTTCTTTATAAACTAAGATTTATTTTTAGTATATTTATCTTAATACTTTTTACATTAACACATTTTCAGCATCTATTACACAAAATACCAACATGCCTCCCCAAACACATTTTTCTTCATTTTGGTAGGAATGGTGTATGATTGTGTATGTGTGAGAGAGGGAGATGGAATTGTATCTCAAATCCAGGGACACCATCCTGACTCATGAATCATTCTGTATCTCATTTTTAAAGAAAACTTAAATGTTTATCATTTCCTACTTTGGTTGCTAATGGCTGGTAATCGTTGGTAATAATCTACTTTGGTTGGTTGAGCTCCATTTTGTTTTGTTGTGTGCTTCTTCTGTTTGATCAGTTGCTTTATTTTTATTATACCACCCTCCCCCCTGGGGGGGTATTCATGTTTTATCCAATATTATTTTATTTTATTTTTGCTTCAGAGGCTTTTTTAAAAAAAGCAAAAATGCAAAAAGATAGGGTTATGATTATATGTTTTTGTGGCTGGGAGAAAATGCTGAAGGCAGTCTTATAATAAAAATAAATACTTATGAAAATGGTTGGTTTCCAGTTTCATAACTATATGGAACATTTTTCCTATAAAATTCAGCATGTAAAGTTAAAGTTTGCTCTGTTCCAATTTATATTATGACTTGTGAATTTCACTTTTATTCAATCAATAAACTGTATTATGATCATTGACTAAGAAAGAGGACAAAGTCTGAAACAGCAAATAAAAATTGCAGCTAATCTAAATGATTATAAATTTTTATACGGTCAAAGTACTTCTCTTTTTAAAATAATAGAGAAAACATAACCACAGTCAGAGAAATCAATGTCTGTATTTGGTGCTTTTGGTGAAAATTCTTCTCTTTTACCCTGTTTAGAATTATGTCCCTCCCTCCCCCCCTTCCTGCCTGCCTGCCTCTGTTGATTTTGTTGGTTGTAAGCTGTTATTTGTTGCTTTATTATTTTTAGTACTTCCTTGATCTTCCTTGTTTTTCAGTGATGTTTCTTGATCTTTGCTATTCTTGTTCTTCAGCTTTTTATCTTTCATTTGTTCTAGCTTGCTTGCATATGTTGCTAGCATGCTGATTTTATTTTCTAACCAGATCTTCCATTTTAGTGATGTACTGTTTGGCTTTTTTCATGTTTGTTATGTCACTGTTCTCCAACTGGTGTTCTCCAAATGTGCTGGACTATAATTGTCATGGTTCCGACAGATATTCTTGCTTTGATAATAACTCTCATTAGAAGTGGCTGGCAACAATGCGAGTTATAGTTTATTACGGTACATTTGGAAGACTCCATTTTGTGAATGACAGATGTAAGAATTCAGTATGATTAATCAGAACTAAGCTTTCTTTTCTATTTACAGTATATATAATATTTAATTTCTTTAAGGTAATTGAGTAAGAGTTGAATTTTTAACTATAAAAAAGAAAAATATAAATAATAAAAAGTTGGATTTTATAAAATAAATGTTATGAGAAAAGCATGTGATAACGATTAATTAGAATTTGGTTTAAAAACTTTTCCAATTTGTATTTTTCCAAGGGGCTTTCCAGTTTTCTAAAACAATGAGAAACTACTAATAAAATGCTTTCTAAATCATAAATTAGAGGATTATGTTTTGGAACATGGCTCATTTGGTTTTCCATTTAAGAAATGCAATGATTTTTTTTTAAAAAAAAAACAGTCTGTTTTCTCTTCCATAGCCACAAAAAAGTGGCAACTTACAGCATGTATAAAGAATTAGATCTGTCAAGTTTATGAGTCTTCTTCAGGTTAGAGAAAGGAGCCAGAATAAAGCCCAAACACCCCTTCTTTTTAACAGATTGTTTTAAAAGATACATTCACTTTCTTCTGTTACCCTACTTTATTTCTGAGTAATGGCTGGGAAAAATAACTGTAAATGTATTAACCATATCTCTATATTTTCCAGCAATATGTTACCTGTGAGACCCTTAAGTTGATAGTTCCTATATGTCTCCCATATAAATCTTGTTTAATTGCAAAATATATCTCCCTGTGCTAGAATTTCTCTGTTCCTTCCTCCTCTATCATGTAATCTGACAGCTCATTTCTCATCTTTTCATATATTTGTTCAAATATTGTGATCTTCATTTATAGACCACACTTGGAATACTGCATCCAGTATTTTATATTGGTTGCCACAATATATAAAAAAAGATGTGATTCTAGAAAGAGTGCAGAGAAGAGCAACAAAGATGATTAGGGGACTGGAGGTTAAAACATATAAAGAATGGTTGCTGGAATTGGGTATGTCTAGTTTAATGAAAAGGACTAGGGGTGGTATGATAGCAGTGTTCCAGTATCTGTGAGGTTGCCACAGGGAGGAGGGGATCAACCTATTCTCCAAAGCATCTGAGGGCAAGACAAGAAGCAATGACTGGAAACTAATCAAAGAGAGAAGCAACCTAGAATTAAGGAGAAAGTTCCTGACTGTTAGAACAATTAATCAGTGGAATGACTTGCCTCCAGAAGTTGTCAAGAAGAGACTGGACAACTATTGTCTGAAATGGTATTTTTAACTATAAAAAAGAGGGGTTGGACTAGAAGGCCTCTAAGGTCCCTTCTAACTTGGTGTCTCTGTATTCTATGCTGAAACAAATGCAGGGGCTATCTATCAACCAGTGGGCCTGATGTTTTATTTTTAATATATAAATACTGTAACTCTGCAATTCTTTGATGATATAAAGATGCTTCAAGGAACATGGAGATGTGAACACAGCACCTGTCTACAACTCTTTAAAGTATGTCCTTTCCCAGGAAGTAAAGTGGTATAGACTTCATAATACTCTTTCAGAATTTTATTATTTGCCTGAGCAGAGGGTTGGAGTAGAAGACCTCCAAGGTCCCTTCCAACTCTATTATTCTGTTATTCTGAATGTTAGTCTACTGTAGAAGATGAGGTGCTAGACTGGCATCAGGAAGACCCACATTCTAATCCTCTCTTAGCTTTGAAAGCTCTCTGAGTGACCTGGACTAGTCACCCATGTTCAACATTATCAATAACTGTTGAGGAGCTGGGACCAAACCAGGTCATGCCCAACTAATAAAATACAATTGCTTTGGGGACCAGAATGGGTGGCAAATTGGGATCAGGCCCTTTATATTCCAAACAAGCTATCTAGTGAAGCTTTAGAACTCGCCCAAGTAGCTGCTTCAGCACTTCACAAGATCATGCTCTGAAGATTTGCTCTGACTTTTCCTCTGAGTGTTATAGACTGCATGGCTAGCTGAGTATGTGTGGGATGTTGCTGCTACTGCTATAAAGAACCCAAATAATAGAGCATTCAGAGGAGATAATTTTTGTACCTCAGGTGTTGATTGCTCAGTGACTATAACCCAGTGGTATAGTGTACTCTTTGCAGGCAGAAAGTTTTAAGTTCTTTTCCAATCCAGGTAAGATTGGAAAAGGAGCCTTCCCCGAAGATTTGGAGAATTATCTATGAGTAATTGCATTAATATATCTTTCAAAACGGGAAACTCTCCAACTTTCAGAATTTCAAGTCAATTTACCTTCACTGAGATTTCTCTGTGTTAAAATTCACAGAGGATGGAGAGTCCTGGGTTATGTCATCCAGACCTAAATGAATCACTGCTTTAACTTGATATAGGATAGTTTCTTATGATTTTATGACATTTTTATACGCTGTTTCAGCTGGAGAAAATGAGTTCAGTTTTCCAGCCCCGTATTATAGTTGGATCAAATATTGGATATTGTAGATTGGATGAAAGGATAATTATATTAATTAATATAATTAATTAATATAATTAATTATTAGTTATATTAACTTATATTTATATAAAATTATAAATATATTTATAAGTTATATTAATTATTAAGAAAACAGTCTTAAACCTCACATCAAGCACTGTCTGCCCATAATAAAATAAGTTCTAAATTGCAGTGGAACACATTGTGAAATATAGCCATTGTGCCTTTGGGAACAAAGTGTAGATAGTCACTGTTTTTCAGTGCTGTGGGCAGCGAAAAGCAAGCTTGGTTGTGAAGACAATATTAATTTTTAATCCAGGCAATTCTTATCCACTCTCCACTCTTTTATTTATACGTTGTCCACACTTTTACTTTTACTTATTCATACTGTCTGTACTTTTACTCTTAAAACAAAATCTTAAAACAAAAGTGACATGCAAAAATCCCAAGAAATGATACTGAGCATTAAAAGGGCCCTTCCTAGTGGCCTTTGCCTCCTTTAATCCTTCCATTTATGTAGGTTCTACCTTAAATCCCATATCTTCTCTGTTTGCAAGTGGCCCTAAAGAGACAGATCCTCCTGCCATCTAGTGTTTCATGCAGAGCTTCTGTGTCTTCTGAAACCTTAGGACAACCAATTTAGCAAGACATGTTGTGTACTTCAAAATATTTAAGACTTTATCCTAAATTGGTATCAATAAAAAAATCTGCAGGGCTACAGCAGTTGAATGAGATGGGAATTTAAAGAGTTGTAGAATAGAATATTGGGACAACACCACTACTGAATAGGTTTTTTAAACTGTACAAAGATAGCTGTGTCTACATTTGGGTGCTTTCTACAACATAAAGTCACTCTAACACTTCAGAGCACATTATGTTCCCCAAAATTTTGTGTATAGCAACCAGAAGCTTCCAGAAGGTACTGCTAGGTTATAAAATTTAATATAACAGAAGCAACAAATAATTAAATATAAGGTACCTGTTACTCTCTGATAAGATGGATGGCCAATAAATTTTACAGATAAATAAATAAACTGTATTTAGCATCGATTCATTATGAATGTAAATGCAATAATAATTCTTGTACTGACTTCTTCCTCTTATTGTTGGAGTACAGCTCTCACCAAGTGCAGCTCTCAGCCAAGTTAAATTGTTCATCCTCCCTCTGTAAAGTTATCCCTTGTATGTCCCTTTTTCCTAAGGATATATGTCTCTTTCCTTGTGAAATTTCATGGTTATATATTACTGAAAAATCCTTTTATGCCAAATTGTTTCAATTCCTTGATCTTCTCGGACAAAAGTTTTCAGTCATAAGGAATGTATTATTTTCCTTTAGGTAGGTAAGAAATAGGCATATGACATTTATCAGAATCATAAGAAATTGAGTCCATTTTCTCTGTTTTCTAAATCTACCATGTTTAAAGAGCTGGAAGAGATTATCAGCATCCTCAGATCTATTGCCAACAATATCACTTGAAGTTTACAAAAGTTTGAATTTTTGCCCATATTAAAATGATCGTTAGGTACAGTATCATACCCATGAATGCATACACATGGAACCTGTTCTATATTAGGGGACATATTCTTTTGTGGACTGGCAAAGTTCATTATCTAGCTTGACTTGTTCATTGACAGAGATTTTTATTTATTTACTTATATAAGACATTTTTATAGCCACACAGATATTGAAACATTTAAAAACAAATAACAATAAAAAACACAAAAGCACTACAAATCCCCCCCCCCCAAACTGGCAGAGAAATCTATGGTGGAATTAAAAAGAAAAGAAAACAAAGACTTCTCAAAATACCAATAGGGTGGAGCTGTTTGAATTTTGGGGGTAACCTCATTCCAAATTGGTAGGTGCTGCTTACAGAGAAGGCACACTTCAGGGTCCAGACAGCTGGCATTGTTTAATCGATGGAGCCCAGAGTGTGCCAGACCTGCCAGATTGAACCAGCCAGGTAAATAATGAAATTGGAGTGAATTCTGCTAGTTCCAGTATAGATTGGAATTCTTTGTAAAGAAGGCTGCACAGAATTCCTTCTTTTTCTACTGAATCAAGTAGGGCATTACCTACGAACAGAGAAAAACGTTAGGGTTTTTTTTTAATTGAATGGGTCTGCGGTATCTTAATTATTTATTTTCATACCAGATAGTAAGCGAAACTCAGTGAAACTGAGAAAAATTATAGCCTTAAAGTAAGAGCAACCGATCAGTTAAAAAAAACCCTCAAAAAGTATTTGACTTTTTGTGTCTACATTCTGATTCAGAAGGAACCTGGAAGCAGACCAGATGTTTGAAACACCGTGCCTCCCCAGATCAGATTTACCCCAACCCTGCTGGCCTTCTCAAAGCTTTAAAACTTGGATATGCTTCTAGGCATGGAGGTCCAGAAGTTACCTGGAATTTGTGGGCTGTTCTCAGCTTATTAGATTTGGTTTTTTGAATCTTTTTATTTATTGCTTTGGGGAATAGGAGGGAAACATTTATTTTGTACAGTCTTTTTATCTATTACTACCTACCAGAGTCACAAGATGGGGTGGGCAGCTACATAAATTTAATTTTAAATACATAAATGAACAAACGAACAAATGAATTCGCTCTATTTCTAAGGAAACTTTTAAACTATTGTATCTAATGATGCGGTATACTTGTATTACAAGAACAGAGAATTAAACTGCATTCAGAATATTTCTCAGGGCTCGTTTCTCTTTACACATATTGTTGAAATTTCATGTCCAAAATGTTTTTGCCCTCCTCAGATACAATCAATTGATGCGATATCCTTTTTGTTATTATGTCTCGGGTACATAAATTTGTAGAAACAACTGTCAGCCTTGATTGATGACCATAAGCCTGACCTATTTCGTGGGCAGAAAGCACAAGACAGCTGAAATAAGCGACTGTAATTGATTGGTGTGTGAAAGTCACTGGTGGGTAAAAAATGGAACAAGAGCCTTTCTTCTACTTTTGTAATATCATTCCCTTATCTTTTCTTTCCCAAGTGGAACGTTGCAAATAAAGATCCACAGGTTTCCATCTTAATGACGCCTGCCATTTCAGGAAATTGTATTTGCTGCTCAGCGTTATATTTGTAGCATTGATCCAAATTCAATATTTCTCAGTAAAGATCTTATTGTTATTGAAAGAAGCTAAGCCTTTTCATTGTCTCTGCTTTTCTCCTCTGTTTCTAAACTGCATTTTCCTGCAATTCATCATAGTGTAATGAAGGGGATAATAAAATGGAATGAGCTATGTAAATTTTTTTTTGTAACAAATAGCAAAAACAGAACACTGTTTGGCCTAATAGAAGCTAGTAGTGCATTAGTAACAGGGAACACTGAGTTATTATAGAATATTTTCTTTCCACTACAGATCCCTTTTTAACGAATTTTACTTCTTGACTAATTTAGTTTGGAGTGTTGCAAGCTACTCTAAGGTCTGGCTCATATATTTAAATAGACCTGTAAAATAATATCACCCATGTCAAATTCATAAATGAGTAATTAGCTCTTGGTATGCAGCATATGCAGTTGGGAGAAGATTAAAGAACAGATAATCTAGATGACTGTCATATGGACCACGCTTAGGTAGTGCCAAACTCAGATTTGTAGGGAAATTTTATATCAAGTGTCCGCTTAACAAGTAGTAGGAATCAAGTAGCTCTGGTCAGATTCAAATATGCAAATGTGCTGTTTGATATTATTGAGATAAATCATGTCTAGAGATCCGTGCACCATCCTGAAATCTTTTTGATCAATTCCTAGCTTCTTGATTATTTTAACTCTTATCTTCATAATATGAGTTAAGATAAGCATTTGACATCAACAGTATGTCTGCCGACAAACATTCATTGGTTTCCAGTTAATTTCTTTCTAATTTAATAGAGTACAGGTACTCCTTGACCCACTATTGGTTGCTTAGCAACTATCCAAAATTACAACAGATCCCCTGAAAAGCTGCTTAAGTCCTGGTTTCAGGTTAGGGCTTCTCAGTGTCCCTGCAGTTACGAGAACAAAATTTGGGTGAATTGATCCTTATGACCAGCACAGGTACACTGCAGCACCCCTCTACCTAAATCCCCATCCCACCTTGACCCATTGGGTCCCCACAGACCTTAAGTCTGCTTTCCCACCCAACTGAGTCCCACACCCTCCTCGTCATTCCCCCATTTCTGTCACAATGACTCATTTACCTTCTGTAGATCTGAGCTTTGGAGCTTGTGTTGGAGAAGGAGAACAGACTGCATGGTGCCATCCTGGAGGCAGGCATCATTTTCAGAGTGGCTGCAATGTGTGGCCACTCTGAAAATGTCACCCACTTCTGGGACAGCACCTTGTGACTTATAAGGATGCGGAGGGATGGAGCTGCCTGCTCTCCTTCCACAATGCAAGCTCTGGAGATCTACAGAACATGAGTGATCCGTGATGTGTGGGGAGGAGGATGTGGGACCCAGTGAGGTGGGAAGCAGGCCCAAGGCCTGTGGGTATCCCAAAGGGTGGAAAGAGGAGCACAGGGTGCCTTGGGGTGGGAAAGACCTTAGGATACCCAGAGCAGGCAGGCCTGGGCCTGTGCTAGGCCTCTCAAGGCCTTCCCCACCCTTGAGGCACCCCATGCTTTGCTTAATGACCTGAATGGTGGCTTAAATTACATCGGGGTATCAAACTGCCAGCCCACGGGCCGGATGCATCATACCAAAACCGCGCCCACCCCATTGCCGGCAATGGGAAAAAAGTCATGATTCGCTGCAAAATGTCATGTGACATCGTGAGTTTGACACCTGTGAATTACATCATGGAGAACGGATGGGGAACATTAAGCAAGGCAATCATGTGAGTGCCTAGCTTAAGGATCCTCATGATTTGCAACCATAGTGGACCAGCTCCATTATGGTTGTAAGTTGAGGACTTACCTATACTATGAAATTCTAAAGCATCTTGCATTGCTGAGAAATTAGAACAGGGCAATTTCTTTCAAGTGGGATGGTTCATAGACTTAAAGTGGATATGCAGACAACACTGTTGCATTCTGCTTTTGGGGCAAATATGGCATTGCATTATGGACTATAGTTCTTAAGTATTGCCTTATTTCTGGGTACTGCTACTTATTATCAGTAATAGTATTATGTTGTTGCTGTTAAAGAGATTTAGCTGTAAGTGAAGGAGCTGTTTCAAACGACTCTCTGAAATATATAAATTGAAAGATGGTGGGGTAATTTGACTTAGGACTCCATATTCTGATTCTAACATTACATTAACAGTTCTTCAATAAATCCATTTCAGTGTCATACTTATCTTTCAAATCAATAAAAATGAAACAAGTTTCAGTCAGTCAATTCAATAGAATGCAAGCTAAAATTCCCTGCAATCCCCTTTTTCATTCTGTTCTCAGTTACATTAATAAGATTGCTTGAAAAATGTTGAATGCAAATATCTTGTGTCTGTGACTGCTCATATTCCCGAGCGTTCCATTAAACAGACAATGGACTGTAGGGTAGCAAAAGCACTACTGATGTGATGAGAAATCCAGGCCTTCAGATTCCAGTTGTATAAGGGCAAACAGCCAAGAGGGGTTTAATGGAAATTAAGAGTGTCCCTCACGTTTAATTACATTCTCTTTCTCTCTCCCCTCTCCCCTCAGTTAAGTGCATGCAAAACCTGATTTAGTCATGGCCTAAATGTAGCCACAGCTCTGTGGTTGTCAAGTATAATGTATCCCCACATGCAGTGCAAGTGTGTTGTATGGATCCTGGCTCAGGGCTGAGTGCAGTGTCCTTGCCAACCAGAGCTGTTGCTCAAGGATACGAAAATGCTTACTTGCAGTTATTTCTGTGGAGGGATGATTGATTTGCTCTATCTGGAGGATTTCGGACCTGGAAACCTGAGCACAGCAGAAAATGCGCTGGCTGTTTTGGCAAAGCTGAGTGTTGAGAGGACAGACAGCTGGCTGATGACCTCAAGAGAATGACAAATATGGGGCCAGGTGCCTCAGTCATTACAGAATACTTCATGCTAAGCCATGCCTTGCCTTGAAACGCAAAGGGCGGAAGCAATTTGGAGTTAAAGAAAGCCCCAGCGAGTCAGATCTTGGTTTCTGGAAACAGAAGTAACTTGTGATTCTAATCTCAATACGAAGAGAAATTAATTCCTTCTTGCACTTTGGGAAGAAGATGGTGCTTTTGCTGTTGTGATGGAAACCTAGTTAAAGGAATCTTGTTGTTTAGACAAGCAATGGCATGTGGAATGTGGACGGATGAGATCACTGGAGTAATCTAATATGCCAGTGACTCTTAAAAAAAATAAAAACAAAAATAAATGACATTTTTACCCAGCATAACCTAGCGCTTTCTCAAGAGGATGTATGTGCACCTGTTGAAAACTCTGGATGCTTGGAAGGAAATGAAACAATATAAAATTAACACACCCTGTGCAGAAAAATCCAAATATATTATTTGCGCAATAAACAAATTTATTTCCAAGTGACATTCAAATTCTGTTCTTAAATTAACTCATGCAAACCAATAATTTTATGCAAATGATCACTGAATTGCAAATTATTTGGAAATGTGTCTTACTAAAACCAGTATACTTATGAACAAGTAAATACCATAAACGTTAAGAGATGAGTGCAATTTTTGCAATTTTCCTTGACTTTATCTAAAGCCTCTCTTTCGGTCTTTGTGCAGTGTGACTTTGTGTTTAGGATGGAAAGTGGTGGAGATGGTATATAAAGCTTGACAAATGAACAGGCTTTGGATAAGGGGATTGCTATTGAGGAGCCCTAAGTACGAATGGTAAAGAAATTCCTTCACCATCTGTACCACAGGATTTTTAACATCCTAATCTAAGTTAATGGTTTTTTCATCAGGCATAACTAATTTGCTCTGCACTGGGATCAGGATGCATTATCCAGATAATGACAGGTGCAGTATCCCATGGATTCAAGGCTTCAACTGTGAAATTATAATATTATTGAAAATTGGTGTGCAACAAATACAGGTTGACCTTGATGAAAACTCATTTACAGATATTATGTCTTTCAAAATAACATAGTATTAATTTTGAAAATTCTAATCTAAATGCTCACTTCTCGCTGGCATACAATAGCACAAACATTCCTGGAATAAAACTGAACTTCAATTGTGCTTCTAGTTATGGCTGCAATATGCCACAACGGACTGGTACGGTGTTAGTAGGGAATATTTCATGTCCTGTGAAGACTGCATCCATCCCTGAGAATGGGATGGATGACATTAATATACCCGTAGATATACAGGGAAAAATAGGAAGAGTAAATTACAAAAATTGCACTCTTAACGTTTATGGTATTGTTTATAAGTATACTGGTTTTAGTAAGACACATTTCCAAATAATTTGCGATTAAATCTCACCGGCTCAAGGTTGACTCAGCCTTCCATCCTTCCGGGGTAGGTAAAATGAGGGGGGCAATGTAAATATATATATACATTGCTTACTGGTGTACACCGCTTAGAGAGTGCTTGCACTTAAAGCGGTATATAAGTCTCATAAATAAATAAATAAATACAAAAGGTATTGGGGATTGGTTTAAGTGTACTCGGGAAGGTGTGTGACAGAATTCTGATTAAAAGGATATGAAAAAATGATTAAAATGGAATTAGTGTGGCTTTATGCTCTAAGCCAGGGGTAGACAACCTTGGCTCTTTTTTGACTTATGGACTTCAACTCCCAGAATTCCTGAGCCAGCATATCTCTAAGCTCTTCAGCAGGTCATTGAAAAACATTTGAATGTGAGAAGGAATTTTATTCTACATGTGTTGATTTATAGCATATAATACAGTGAATAATGTGAATTTGGAGTGCTTTGCAGTAGGAGAGTGTATAGTAACAGTTAAGATATATCAAAAACCAAGGTGGATGTCTATGAGGAGAATCTTTTCTGCTGCAGCACCCACCCTCTGGAACAGTATTTCGTGGCCCCTTATTCCCCTCCCAACTGAAATGTCCCCAATCCTGCTGGCTTTTCAGAAGGCCATGAAGACATGGTTTTGTCATCATGTCTGGAGATCCAAAGGTGGTATGGAGCCTGTCAGACGGTTCTATTGTTAGCAGTTGTATGAATTGTACTCTCCCACAAATATTTATGGTTCTGTATTGTTTTAATTGGTTTTGAATGTTTTTTATTTTAGTTGTTTGCTTACAACTATTGTTTTTATTTTTTAATTGTATGAGCCACTCAGATATGTATCTGAGATGGATGGCTATATCAGTTCAATAGATAGATAGATAGATAGATAGATAGATAGATAGATAGATAGATAGATAGATAGATAGATAGATAGATGGATAGGTAGGCAGGCAGGCAGGCAGGCAGGCAGGCAGGCAGGCAGATAGGAAACTGGAGTGAGTCATTGCAAAATAGATGGATGTAGATATATCAGTTCAATCAATCAATCAATCAATCAATAAGAAACGAGTGAGTCATTGCAAAATAGATGGATGTAGATATATAGATATAGATAGACCTATAGGGTAAAAGCTACAACAAGTAAAGAAATGTTTGTACATTGGTAAAAAGTTGTGGAAGTAGATAGAGGTACAAATGTTGGAACGAAAGGAGTAGGTAACATGAACGAGTGAAAAAGAATGTGTTTCTGCCCACTTTGCCATATGGAAGTGACAGAAGTTCAGAAGAAACCAAAAAATTAGTTGAGTGTGGTGGGAATGGAGTATTTAAGAAGAGGTGTAGTAAAACAAGGAAGGATAGGGTTGAGAATAAATAAGTGAATATAAGAACAGCGGTACATTGACCTGGTTATCGTAGAAAATTGGAAAAGGATTGAATAGTAAAACGTATACAAAGGAAGAGTGAAAGGGTGGAGATTTGGGGAGGGGAGTTAAAAAAACAAAGGCATTGTAGGAAGCAATATATACTGTAGATATGGGGAAACCAAGATAGAAAGAATGGAGAGATAATAGTGAATAGTATCTGGATTTAGTTATTTCTCCTTTTCTTAATTTTTTGTCTTTATTTGGTATACTATTTTTTTTTACTCTTTTTTTATATTTTGCATTGCACAGCTTACCCTTGAATCAATTTCTTCTGAGACTGTTCTCATTCATATAAGGAAAATTTAACTTTGTAACATTCCTTTTTGGGGTGTTTTGTTAGCCATTTCTGCCCAAAGCTGGAATCAACTTTTAATAATCTGTCCTTGATTTATACTTTTCTTGACAGTAGAAAGTGATTACCTAGGGCTTGCTGTGTTAAGTAAACAATGTGTTTACATTTGCAGTGATGTGGCTAGGGGAGCTGCATGTCCTTTTTCAATCCTTATTTGGATTCCCATCCTTTCACATCCAATTCAAGCTCCTTAGTCTAATCTTTGAAATGTTTCAATCCCAGGTTGTCTATTTTCTGTAATGCCATGCACCTGCAACTTTCTTTCCTCTAAAGTCACCATGCTGTTCCATTCAATAGCCTTTTTATAATATGGCCTTACCTCATTTCTTTTGTATTTCCTTGTGCCTAGAAAGTTCTCCTGTAAAATGTGTGTAGCACCATTTTTCTCTTCAGATTGCTCCTCAAATTTATATTTTCACTTAAAGTTGAGATTAATTTTTCAATAGCCATCTAGAACAAATGTTTTCCAAACTTGCTCATTTCCAGGTGTGAGAACTTTAAATCCCAGAATTCCACAGCCAGAATGGCCATGATGGCCATTCTGGGAATTGAAGTCCACACACTTGGAAGTCACCAAGGTTGGGAAATGATGATCTAGAACAGAGTTCACCAAACTTTTTGGGAATGGTTCCGCACATGCATGGTGGGCAAGCGTGCACGCATGCAGCTCCATTTGTACGAGTGGCGGGCACATGCCTCCGCTGTTCACGCAAATGGAACGCGGGTATGCATTTACCAACTGCTTGCCTGAGTGGGAATGTGCGTGCAGGCTGCTTGCCCATTTCTGGTCATCCTGTTCCAAAATGCTCAAGGCCTGGTAGTGGGCTGCGGCCTGGGGTTGAGGACCCCTGATCTAGAATTTAAATGGAATCTAAGAATGCATTGTATTTGCTTGTGTTCACCCATCTCTACCTTTATCTGTTCTTTTCCTCTTTCTGTTTGAATTATTGAAACTTTGTGGGAAAAGTGCCTCGCAATCAGAAACAAATCTTTCAGCTTAGGCTATCACGTAAAATATTGTGTAGAGTGTAATATGAATTGATAATGTTTTATGAAATCATTCTTCTCAAATCCGATTCCTATCATAATAGTCAGCCAGCATAGCCAGTGGAGCTATAGTGGAAGACTGTAAACCATCTGGAAGACTATAAGCCATCAGTAGTAACAATACATGCAGAATTCACTTCTGTTGCATTATGGCAAAGCACAAACCCCAGTCCTGTTTGAAAGTGTTTTTAAGATTTGTTGCCAGTTCAGTTATTGAGCTCCAGAATTAAATCTATAGTTGACTTAATTAAAAGTGTTGTGTATCTTCTTTAAGTCATTGTAGTGGAGTTCTGGAAAAGAGGACTCCTTACAAATCAACATGGGAAAAAGAAGCAGGAAGACTACATTTTAAGAATTTAGCAATATTTTAATCTTTTCTTTCCTACTTAAAACAAATCTTGTCTTACAGTTACAATTCCTTTCCTTCCAAATTTTATTCTTGAAGATGATCAGGAAAAAAGTTATTTAATAGATGAATAACTTTCATATCAAATAAGTGATGGATGAATCTTATCTTTCCCATGCTACTCATAAAACATCTGGAGAGCAGATTGGAGAAGAGACATCTGTATGCCAAATACATACAGATGGATTGCAACTGGTCTATTTACATAATGCAAACCACAAGTGAGGACTGGATAGGAGGAAGACTTAGGCTATTATCTGCATTCCTGTGAAAAACTGCTTTGCCATCTTGTTTGGGTCATGTAGTATAGAAATGAAAATGGGCAGCATATGGTGACCAATTATCCTGAGAATCTGAATAATTTTCTCATAGTTGCATTACAATTGAATAAGCATTGCCTGTCCTTAAAACAGACACTGCTAACGCCAACCATTTTTTAAAAAAAACTATAGCTAGAAGTGCAAAAGAAAATGCTTTTTTCTAGATGTTGCATCTCTATCTCAACAACCATGTGTCATTCTAGAAGAAATTGCGAAGAAGAAAAAAGTATATAGAATACTTAGTTCTTAAAATCAGAATTCTGGCGACTCATAATCATAGGGTAAGAATGGATGTATAATCCCCTGAAAATGGGGGATTATGGGCAGGTATCATCCATCTTCAGTAGGTGTGAACTTAAATGGACTCCAGAAAATGGTAGAGGACAGGAAGACCTGGAGGAACGTTGTCCATGGGGTCGCGATGGGTCGGACACGACTTCGCAATTAACAACAACAACAATCATCCATCTTAAATCAATTACACACACAATTACACGTACACAGACACACGCAGAACACCTTCTCCCTTCCCAACTGCAATTGGGAACTTCATTAGGATATATTAGTAAAAGCTGACTTGCTTCATTATGCATCTTTTTGGGGAACTGTGCGCTGTTATAAATTAAAACATTTAACTGTTTGGGTTGTACTGATGGTCCCATGTGTGTTCAAACCAGCAAACATCTGTTCAGAATTTCCCAGGACAGTGTATAAAAGTATTTGTATGAAATGACTATACCTTTCCAGAAGCAAAACGAACCAAGATAGGCAGAATCAAAATAGCTTAATCTAGTTTGCACTGGAACCTGGTTTTCATTTGCTATAGTGTTTTTTAAAACCTAATGAGGTTGGATGTCCCCTTAAGCAGGATAGTACTTTATGCTCATAGAGACAAGCATTTGGCAGGGCAGAAATTTCATGGGCCACAAATTTTGTTTATAGGATAGCCCTCCCTGCCTTCTTTTCTCTTATTTTAATCCTAATGTATGTTAAAAATAAAATCCTATCCCCAAGTAATTCCTTATGTTTAATCTTTCCATCATAGCATAAACTACAGCAGAGGGCTTAATTGTGTTCTTCCTCTCTGCTGCTCTGTTGAGGTCTTTATGGTGCCAAGGCAGAAACTACTGACTGAATTGCATTGTAAGATCAATGGTGTGCCAAAGCCACGTCTTGTAATTTTCACTGAAGAGGGACAAGATGCAAAATCTTTGCTCTCTGCTGGCTTAAACAATATCTAAGAAGTCAAAGAAAGATCCACAAGTTACATGCATGTGAGATCCATTATGACAGAATTGGTGAGGTTCCTCCTGAAAGATAAAATTGTGGCAGCCAAAATCACTGAGCCACTATCCAAAGGCAGGAGAATGAATCCAGGGAGCAAAGACCCAGAGGATTTCTGGGAAAGGAAGTTTAGAAATTCTTGCTTTCCACCCTGTAGACTAAGCTATGCTTTTCTTCAATGAGTTCCTATTTTTTATCTTTGCTGCTCTGCTTTTCTTCAATGAAATGTAGCATTTTTCCATGACGTGACTTCTGAGGCTTTTAAAGAAATAATTGATAGTTGAAATCCTGAGAGGCAGTTCGTAACTTTAGCCTTGCCACTGCTACTGTATTCGGTTGACCGAGGCCACTGGTCTCCCAGTAAGTAGCAATGGGATTTCCAAAAACTGAAGCTGACATTCCATCTTCCTGCCTTTCTTGCAGCAAGTATCTGAATTTTGGACTTAATTGGCATTTCAGCAGAAATACCTTGGAGTTCACAAACAGAAATGCGGGTTTTCAGTTATTAGGCCTTTTCTAGCCTCAAGATAGGAACAAATGTGAACAAATTGTAGTACTGCACAATATTTTGTAGGTGTTCAGGAAATGTTAGAGAGGCATGTGGTGTGGTTGGTTTGGTATAGAGAATTCAGTTTCTAAGCCACATAGATGAAACACCAAATTCATACAGTTTATGTGAATTATAGCCATCTTGACTGCTCGCCAGAGCATAAAGGTCAGGTTTTAAAATAAATAAATTTAATCCAACAAGGATTCTAAATTGAGTTCAGTCTTTCCTGTCTCCAATTCCAGCTTTTGACTGAATGATTCAGTCTATAGAAATGTGTTCAGCAGTGGGACCCAGAGAAGTTGGATTTTCTTCCAGTTCTCGTTGTGGAGCATGAAATGTTTCTTTGCTCAGACAATGCTGCTCTTTGTTCTAGGTATCTAAACCATGTCCGAGCTGCTTCCCCACAGGATCTTGCTGGTGGCTACACTTCCTCTCTTGCCTGTCATCGAGCCCTTCAAGAAGCCTTCAGTGGGCTGTTTTGGCATCCTGGCTAGCTGGGGGGTAACAGACAACAAAGCAGAGCAAGCAAAACTCAGGTGAAAATTGTTGCCGTCTGCACTATGGCTAAACTGCAATCATCTATCTTTAAAAAAAAAAGACATTGTAAAGCCAGCTATACTTAAGTTTAAAAATTCACTATATAGAAACTTTATTTAGAAAAAATGGTGGTGTGTATGTGTCTTTTCTTTTCTGTGGTTTGAGGATGGGAATGGGAGATGCTTTATGTCACTCTTCTGAGATGTTAATGGAAGATGTGAGCAATCATTTCATGTATTTAAGGTTTCTGAAACAGACTAGTAATTTAAAAAAAAAATCCAGATGTTGTTGTTGTTGTTATTTTTCATAGTTTCTATATCTTCTTTTCAGGTTTCTATTTACAAAACCACTGAAATGCTGTTTTCATTAAACCTGTATAATACAATTCTACTACAAGCCAAAAAGCCTTTTCTTCTCTTAAACCAGTGTCTATTGTGAATTATATTTTTCTTCCCTGAAGCATGATATAAGAATTGGAGATATGTTTTTTCCATAATACCTTAAGTTCTGAGCAATGAAATCAGAACCACACTGAAGATTGGAACAATGTCACTCTGTAAGTATTCAATTATGTATCTGGCTCTAAAAATACCAAAAACACATACAGAAGAAAGTGCGAAGATGAGTGCAAAGATGAGCAGCCTGCAATCCACAAGCGACTATTGGCTTTCCTTCAGTATGGAGAAAGCTGACATTTTTACATCTGCTTGATTTTGGATGGTTTTAAGAGACAAAATAAATAGGGCTATAGAGCGACCCAGATTCTAAGATGATTTTGAACGTGGTGATATTCGTGGAGATTCTTTGATTTCAGGAAAAGATGGGTTTGATTTAAGTGGATGCTGACAGATATTAATATGCACTCCAAATCATCTCTTTCCCTTTACATCTGAATTGCTTGCTACATGGCCCTAAAACTTGTACCTTAAACCTTGAAAAGTTTAAAGATCCCAATATAATAATTCTGAAATTTATCTAATTTTTTTCCCATTGAGGATGTTAGTTACTATTTCCAGAGATTATTATTGGGTAGTTATTGCAATAAAACCAATAGCTATATTAATGTTTACTGGATAAGAAATAACTGTATTAGGACATTCCCCTCCCCCCAATGAAAACTCTTATGTTATTGGAAGAATATTACCTGTGTTTCAGAAGCAGCTTTCTGGACTAGAGTCCACTCCATATGATACATGAAATGTTAATTATCGATTGACAAAAAACCAAGAATATTATACCGTTTTAAAGACTATTTAATTTGGGAAAATATTTCATGTATTTGAAGCATACCAGCTTAAATGTGCAAATTGGAATTCAATAATCATGTAATATCAGGAACAGAAGTACATTTAGAATTCCACAAACTGAGAGTGATAGTATGTCATTAGAGGGCATAAAAATTCTATATTTTGTTACAAAATTAAATACATATCAGCTGTTATTGAAAACAGCAAAGCAACTGCTTTATGAATTTAGGAAATGGTAGGTTGTGTTTTAAACTGTAATATAAGATGCATTTGAGTATAATTAAGCAAAATGCAAGAAGGCCTCTCTAGATGAAACATACACCTAGTTTACAAACTAATATTTTCATTTCATATCCTGAATTCCTCCTTCCTCTAAAACAGGAGCATATAATCATCAGATATGTGTGTATAAACACAGTTGCTTTTATAAACAAGGAAGTGAAAAACTCAGTTTATGAATGCAGATGCTCTTGTTTAATAACCATTCTTTCAGCAATTGTTCAAAGTTACAATGGTGCTGAACAAGGAGCCTCATACAGTCCTCAAAGTTGCGGCGATTGTAGTGTCCCATGGCCATATGATCATGATTCAGGGATTTGGCAACTGGCTCACAATTATGATACTTGCAGCATCCCACTGTCACTGGATCGCCATTTGTAACCTACACTATATTTCAAATACTTCATTGCTTTATCCTTCATCTCCCTTAGCTCCTCAGGAGCCATTCAAGATCTGTGGCTGGACATAGACATCATAGGACCAATGACAACCAATGCCCTATGTATGGGTACTTCAAGACTGGAGTGAAATATTTCATCTTGTCCATTTAATTTTATACTTTCTCATTGGTGGATGAATAACTGGACACAAGCTTGAACACAAAATTATGGAAAAATACAAAATTTAATGCTCTTTAAATAAGACAATTGACACTAATCATATATAATAGAATTTAAAAGAACTGAAGCATAATCAGCATATAATTAGCTCGTGAATCAACGCTGAGAAAAGATTAGATAACTGCTGTTACACAGAGAGCAGATCCAATGTACTTTCCTCACCTTGAAAAATTAAATTAAAATTCTATTCAGTCATGATCCACATATCTCCTAGATGGTTTGATTATTTTCTTCAGTGTAATTTTCATTTGTGCATGGTCGTTTAGATGGAGGTTCCCCCGGATCATCTGCAAGATGATTAAGATAATTAGTTCTGAATGGCTGGTATATCTATCTGTCCCTCCATCCCAACATAATAGCAGCTTATGTTTCTCAGATAGTCTCTAAGCACTGTTAATTGTGTGGTTTTGGCTAAATAATTTTCATAGCATCAAAACCCACATATACATAGATACAATGGCAGTCAGTAACTGCCCATTTTACTAAAACATGATTTGGCTCTTAGCACTCAAAAATAAAATTAACAATTTATGGCAATTGGTTTTATAAATCACACAAAACCAAGCTGACTAACTAGATTATAGATTAATGCAGTATATATGTCAGGACAATTTGAGACAAGAGATGCATAGTGCTCTTTAGATCTCAACCCAAGAAATATCCTCAATCAGAGTCAGGTAGCAACATTTTACTAAGCCTCCATTCACCCACATATTTACCTGCCAGAGAAGACAGTGGCTTGTATAACACCTCAGCTGGAAGTTGAAAGCTAACGCACATCATTTCTTTATTGGGTGCCACATTTCTCACCCATTTAACAGAACAAAGACTATACAAGGAAGCTCCCAGTAAAGCTTCCACTCTTTCTTGAACATCTTGGGTAGGGTTATCATGTTTGGAAAAACAGTGACAGTGCACTGTAGGAAGTTCAGCACTGCTTGGTTCTCCATTCAGGAGATGCCTGAAGGCATCCAGGAATTCAATTGCCATGGCTGGCAAATTCATGATGATATGTACAGAATTCTTCCATTCCTTTGAAGAGAGATGCTTATCCAGTTCTTCTTTCACTGGCCCTTTCAAGAAAGTCCTGCCATCCAGGTTGAAGACTTTGACTTTTTTGTCCACTTTATTTAATTTACAGTTGTGCTGGAGCCACTTGCAGGATTCAGGGTTGAGGTCGTTTGCAAACACCATGCAGTTCTTCTTTGCGGCAGGGATTGCAAAAGGCCCCACCCCTGCAAAGACGTCAAAAAGAAGGTCTCCTGGCTTTAAAAGGTTGACAATCCGCAAATGTTCGGTAGAGAGGCGAGGGTTCCAATAAACTTTGGAAAAATCAAATTCATACGAGATATAGTTTTCCTTAACCTAGAAGAGTTCAAGTGAATAGGCTGACTGTTAGCTGCCAAAGGTCAGGAAGAATGAAATGCAATGGAATATTATATTTTATTCCAAAAATTAGAGTTCCCCTTTGCTAGCTCTGAAAGAATTGAGCACCATGTCCTTGCAAAAGATCAGATTGGGAATAAAGTGACCCAAATTAAGATTCATCCTCAAATATGGAAGTTCACTGGATGATTTTGGCCCAATCATTATGTTTCAACCATCCTAACACGGTGTTATGTAACTAAATTCTAGAGCAACAATGATGTTTATATTGAATGAATGAATAAATATGTTGTCATGTTTATATAAAAGTGATTGATTAATTAATTAAAAGAGACAGGACACATAACTCCATAGCTCTCTATATATCAACCTTAAGCATTTATGGTGCAAGAAGGGACAGATCCTTAGAACTACATAGCTACAAATAAGGTTTATAACACTAGCATTTTACATCAATGTGAGATCTAGTTTTCATCAGTTGAAAGAAACAGTTTTACACTCTAAAGCACCAATGTCTTTCCAATTCAGAGGTTCAAGATGTTTTTTTTTTAATTTTGTCTTACTTAAAAGAAAAAAAAATACAAATAAAATAATTCAATCAGTATCTTAAAATTAAATATTACTGTTTGGTTTACACCTTCTTCAGTAATATATATTTTAAACAAATTCTTATCTTTAAAGAGAACATACATTTATCATATATTTACAATAATATTGTATCAACTGTCCCTATCAGGGAGTTAGAAATATCTATAATATATTTGGAAGGCAAAAGCTGAGATAAATGAGAATAATATACTAAAACAATACAGTACATACACCTTTTCAAGAATCCTATATACAAGATCAGCTTTGTATACATGAGTCCTAAATCTTATTGAAGTGATCCACTTCGCTCATTTGCTTTACAAGTAGTCCTCGGGTTACAATGGCAATTGAGGCTGTAATTTTTATCACTAAGTGATGTAGTTATCAAATGCAACAATCTGTGACTACCTTGCTAATCAACAACAATCCAGACAGTAACAGTTACAGTATACGTGTGTGTGTGCATGCATATTACATAAATTCAGCCACTGGTAAACTATATTCCTCTTACTAGAATCTTTTAATCAGAGCTGCAATTTTATTTAGCCTAGACAAGCATATCTGAAAACACAGATTTCAAACTCTATAGAATTGAGACGCAGACAAGAAATCATAGTCCAACATTCAATAATGTCTATTTCTTGCTCTGCTTATATCTCCTTGGTAAGTTTCTTTCTGCTAGGATAAAAAACAATTGAAAGTCTCAGTACCTTTGTTATCATGTTGGCACCATCTCCAGCTAGTAGCTCCATTTCAAAGTTTCGATACATATTATCTATAATATTGATTTTATTTACAGCACAGGTTATTCCTTGATTTTTGTCAATGATAACTTGTCCTGAAAGTCAAATATGCAAAAAACACCACAAAGATAAAAGTGGTAAGCAAAGCATAGAAAATCTCTTCCATAAAATGAATGCTTCATTTCTTAACAAAGAAAGGTAATCTTATCCTCCTGTGGAACTGCCATAATGCTTGCTTCTGAAACCTTTTAACATCATATTCTCCCCTATACAGAAAAAACTTAAAATTTAACACCCATTTTTCCTCATTTTGGGAAGTTTGTTGAATGGCTAAGGGGCAAAATGGCACACAATATTCCTTTATTTTAAAGAGATATTAGAGAGGAAGACGCAATTTTAAAAAGGCAGCAAAAATGGACAAAGAAAAATGGCTAGAGAAGATGGGAACCTTGGTCTCTAATATTTTTATAAAACAAACCTGAATATCCTCTTAAATATTTGAATGAATTATTCAAGCATTTG